CTCTCTCTCTCTCTCTTTCTCTCTCGATTTCGGCGATGCGAAGGCAACGAGAGTCGTCGGTCTCATGGCGATCTCTCGCGCTCTTTCACTCGTTAACGAGCATAATTCGCTTCCGATGCAATTTCCAGAAACGAGGACGAACGAGAGAAGGGAAGCAAAAACTGGTTCGAAAGCTTCCATTCTCTCCGATATGTGCGATTCACCTCTACTCGAAAAAATTGCCTCTACCTCGCGACGGCCATCTTTTTCGAGAAATTTCTCCCAGGAAATTTGATGGTTTAAAGTACCTTGTCAAAGTTATGATTAATTTGAGATGAATCGATGTTTTAGATTTGTAAAAATATTTTTACGCGATATATATATATATATTCGTTTTGAATCTTTTTCAACGTACGATCTCCATGAAAGTTGGCGAGTTATGAGAATCGCCTTGGAATTTTCAAAATTGGAAAACAAACGAAGTGGCATATGTAAAAGGGTGTAAAAAACGAGAAGCGAGTGTGAGACAGATGCAAAGTTGAAGCAAAGTGAAGAAGTGTATTTGGTGCGTGTGTATGCGTGAATGGCCGGCATTGAGAAGAAGTTGCAGCTGCGGATACGCGATGCTCGCTCATAAAATGTTGGCCTGTTCGTCACCTTTGATCTTATCCTCGACCGAATTATTTTCTCGAGGCGCGAAAGAGAAAAGATATTTGGAAAATATTAAAGAGGCGTGGTTAAAGAGCAAACGAAGTGTTTGTTAACCGTTGTTTGCGCGTAATTCGATATTATTCGAGCATTATCGTTACAAAATGAACGGATAAACAAATGCAAATGAGAGCGAGCCGCTAATGAGGCGTGCAAGGTTAATCAAATTTCTTGTTCGATTTGCGCGAAAAGCGCGATCGATCATCGATTCTTAATTATTAATTTGCACGCGAGTCGATCGATCAAAATGTCGCCAGAAGCTTTCTTTGCTCGGGGACACGTGGAGAAGGAAAAAGAGAAGGGAAGAAAAATCGACACTTGAAGTGAACGCGTTTCGTTTCGAATTACTCGATACGTCTCGATACGATCGCTGTACATTTCCAAATACATATACACATTGGTGAAGAAGAATAATAGAAAAAGGAATGAAAAGAGAAAGCGTGTGGTTTTTAATGAAATGGCGCGCGGAATGCCTTCTGCAGGAGGCGAGAATAACTAACGCAAATAGAAACGGTACCTACTGTCTCGCGCGAATCAAGATACCGGCAAATATCGATGAATTTCCGTTTTTTCACGCGTTTCAATCCCGCGAATTGTGACTTGTTGCTTGCCGACTTCGAACGTTCCACGGTTAATTAACCGCTCCCTTATTTACCGACCGAGTCGTCAAACAACTCGGTTGTTGCCGAGAAATTTTAAGCTTTATGCTCCGTTGAAAAATCAATCGAGATTTATTGTTCGATGAAAAATATGGGATCGATGCGAGGAATCCTTTCGATCAAAACGATAATTTATCGCGTATTAACGATATGGAAAGCAAAGCGAAGAGAGATAATGGAGATTGTAATTGTAATCTAGATATCAATTCGTCGAATCATTCGTTTACATTTGCATCTGTTGCAGAGTTCGTATAACGTACTATTATAATTGTAAATTATACGATGATAATCGATTACGGGCCAATTTGAGATTAATTTTGCTAATATTGGCTCTGCCCAATTATCGTCGTATTTCTGACTCGATGTAACCCTCGTTGTGTGGTCGATTATTATTTAACGATTATCTTCGGTTAAATATTATTCTATATATATATATAAATACAAGGCAGAAAATTGATTGTAAAAGTATTGGCAACTGAGACGTGATATTTTTTTTTTGTAATTCTTTCGTTTGACCGATTCAATCGATATTATTCGCGAAAATTATCGAACGAAACGGATATAAATTTCCTTAATTTAATTAACATCTCCATATTTGCGAAACTCGTTGATCGAGCGTGTAACAAACGTCTATTAAAGTCACGACGCGATTCGTTTAAATCGTACTTACGCCACGGATGAATTAATTCGTTTCGTTCAAACATTCGATCATACCTCAATTTTTAATTTTGCAATTTCGTGTCAAATCTCTTTGTCATTTCTTCGCATTTTCTTTCTTTCTTTTTTTTTTTTTTTTAAACTGCTTGCTTAAAATTTCGAAAACTTTTGATACTATGCTATAGATATTTAGAACTGGAAAAAAAACCTCGTCCTCCTCTTAATCTCTAATCGTTGCAAGTTAATTTTCCATTGTCTTGCCAACGAGCCTCCCAAGCTACAACTAATTGGAAATTTAATTTAATTATTTCTGCATCGAGGCTCGCGTAAGCGCCGACCAAACCGACTATCGTTACACCTTTTAAGCGAAGATAAAAACAAGAATTTCGGTGAAAAAGCGAGAAGTTAATTAGCGGCGAGAATAATTTTTTTTTAAAAAGCTTTGTATTTATTTATAAAATAATAGTTCTCGATCTATTCTTCTTAACTCTCGCGGAACGAAATATTATTTTTTTTGATCATTTATCTCGATGTAACTATTATTATTTATGTTTTGCAAAAAATATTACAACGATTCAAAGTCTAACTTTACTCTGCAAAGTAAAACAAAATCCGTTTGATTCTTTTTACTTCTCAAAGATCAAAGATGAAAAAGTAACTAATTAATAAAATCTCGAATAAAGTAATTATTATAATTGATCCGTTTTTTCGTCATAATTTCAATTATTTCCGATTATTATTATTATATTTTGAACGATAAACAATTAAAGTAACTTCAATTCGTAAATTCGACTTAAATTAAATTTTAAAAAAGCTATCACTGGTTTCATACGTTTCTTTTCTCTCGTTCTTTCACGAAGATACACGAAGACGGTGGCGGACTCGAGTTTGACGGCGCAGAGGTACAACCCGGAGTTCACCGTGACGACGATGTCGCCGACGACGGCTTCCTACGGCAACGCGAACACCAGCGTGCTCATTGACCAATTGAGGCACATTAATCAGGTGAGTTCCATGCCCAACTGTAATTTGTTCCTCGGCTCAGCCTTGGCTGACCGTGTTTCCGATTCAATTGTCTCTCGTTCACATCCTGTTTTCGACTTGTATTCGAATCGGGGAGACACTATCGCCGCGTCTCTGCTCTTCAAATTGATCAAAATATAATTCAGGTGCTTGAACCGATCGAGAATCGGATTTATCTATATAGAGAAATTTTCAAATTTTTCGTTTCGATCGTTTCGTTTCAATTTTTCGTTTTTATCATTTTTTTATAATTTCGGATTTTAGAATTTGAAAAAGTAGAGAATCAAATTTATCTTTATGCTAGTGAAATTTTCAAATTTTTCGTTTCAACCGTTTAGTGAAAATAAGATTTGTTTTTTATCATTTTTTTATAATTTCGGAATTTTTTATAATTTTGGAATTTGAAGAATCAGAGAATCAATTTTATGCTGGAGAAATTTTCAAATTTTTCGTTTCAACCGTTTAACGAAAATAAGATTAGATTTGTTTTTTATTATTTTTTTATAATTTCGGACTTTGGAATTTGAAGAAATATTGGATTTTTTTTTTTATAAAAAATCTTTAAGTTTTAATAATTTATAATTTTTTAACGAAAAAATTTTGTTTCTCTTCACTATTCTAATATTATAGTATATACATTATATATATATAATATATATTATAGTATAGTATATACGTTCATTATATTTACGTATAATTTATTTTATCGTTCAGAATTATTTCCACTTTTCCAAAATAGAAATTTTATATATATATATGTTCCACGAATTAGTCATTGCTAATCCTTCTTTACACTCCCCTTTACACAATAGCATAGGTCGGTATATGTAATTACGAACCGTAACAGGCCATTCCTCGCCACTTTAGCTTCGCGTAATCTTGTGATTATTAGTTAAACGCGAATATCGCTTTAAGCAAAATGCGGATGGCGGCGTTTAATCCTTGTGCAATCCAGATGTACCTTCCGGGCACAGACAACGTCGAGCGTTGCGGTTCAAGCGAGCGTCTACGAGACGCGTGCCGCGCAACGTGCTATGTTCAAAACATTAACGTTAAAGTCGAGGATTAACAATGTGGAAAGCAAACCGAGCTCGCCCAACAAATGCGAGCAAAAACATGAATCGTTCCGCTCTCTTCGAGGCGGAAAAAAAACGGAATCGAAATTTTCCTTTAATAAAAAGTTCTCGTCGAAACCTTTTACCTCCACAGATATTGCAGTCTCAGTTGGCGTCGGCGCCCGACAGCGGAACGTTGCTCGGTGACGAGGCTTTGGATGGTTCCGGTAGCGGCGATCGGCCTATATGGAAGAAGAAGAACAAAGATGGGGACATCGATAACGACGACGAGGACGTGCACAGTTACGATCACGATGACGAGGAGGCGTCTGGATCCGGAATGGGACCTACTACACCTGGTAAAAACGATTCGAAATTTCCGAACATTTGCGCCCTTTTTTTTTTTTTTTTTTTTTTTTTTTTTTTTTTTTTTTTTTTTTCGTCGAAATATAATTACAATCTTGTTTGTTTCATCGAGTGTGTTCAAAAGTATTTGATTGGAAGTGATGATTCGAAAATTTTTTCACTTGATCGTTCGAAATTCATTAAGTTGAATTATTTAATTTAACAATTTATTATTTTATTATTATCAATTTATTATATTATATTTTTATCGATTTATTAACGAGTCAAACGAGATTAAATTTCTCAACTTCCTCCCAATTACAATTTACACCAAACATTTGCATTTTATTATTTTAAAAAAAATTATTTTCCGAGAACAAATGAGAAAATTATACGCGTTCGTTAATTACAGATCCGATGCTGAAGACGAATCACGAGAATCCAGTGACGGCCGGCGCTGGATCGAGCATCATCCTGCTTTCGTCCATCGTTTCGATGGCGATTGGCTGTTGTGCACCGTTGTTGATCGCTTAAGTTGCGGAGCGTGGACGTGGAAAGAAGGGAACGATTCGTTTCTCGATTCGTAGCCGCGACCTAGAATAACACGTAGAGAAAGAGAGAGAGAGAGAGAGAGAGAGAGAGAGAGAGAGAGAGAGAGAGAGAGAGCGATTTTTGGTGCCCGCGTCGGGGAATAGGATGATCCTACTCGACACGAGGGATGGATCGATCCGAATCTTACGAAATCTGCTTTATAGTTTATATATCGTGCCGCCTGACCGGGACAAAGCGAGCTGCAAGCAAAATTGTCCGGGAACTAAATATAACGGGGGATTAATCTGTTTCGTTGTTCGTGACTCGAAGAATCGAATGCATGCCGATCGATCGATCGATCGATTTATCTGTTCGATCGATCGAACGAACGAACGAACGAATCAAGACTGTGTTTTTTTATTCCAAGTTTGAGAGGGAGAGAGAGAAAGAGAGAGAAAGAGAGAGAGAGAGAGAGAGAAAGAGAGAGAGTGATCCATTTTTGGACGATCGAGCATACGACGAAGATATTTTTTTCCCAGAGGATCGTTCCACGGATAGAGAAAAAGAAACCACTAAGCTACTAAGTTCTTAATAGCTTAACGTGGTATTGAATAGACGGAAGCGAAAGTGATCACGATGGATCGCGTCCATGTGTTCGAACGATCGAGAATGAAAAATTGGAGAGAAGAACTCGAAGGAACAATGAGGACGTCGCGCGTCTTGTCACTTGGAAAGTGGAGGATACGGAAGAGAAGAATTGTAATTTAGTTAGTGTAGAGCGAAAAATTCTGTGTCCGGAGGAAATTGAAAAATATTCGATTCGAGAATGCCGATGCGAAAAATATACGCGGAGATTATTATATCTATATTCCTGTTTTATGATGGCCGACGAGAAATTATTATTATTAATTATTATTATTATTAATTATTATTATTATTAATTATTATTATTATTACTATTATTATTATTATTATTATTATTATTACGCTGCGAAAAAGTCGAGCAGCGCTATTTTGTTTTATTTCTCGCGGCGAGAACGAAGTTGACCCGTTTTGTATTAAATTGGAGGGGATAATCCACGCACAAGGGACAGTACGGCCTGTGGAAAATCGAATTGAACGAAGAGGAAGGAAAGACGGAAAAAGAATAGTAATTTTACGATAGACAGAGAGAGAGAGAGAGAGAGAGATTAATTACCTTGTACTTTTTTATTTATGCGATATCATAGTGAAAATCATGTTCAAAAAAAATAAAAAGCGAATTAAGCGAAACACGAGGTAAATATAAACCGTACGTTTAATTCGCATAATTCTACGAGAAACAATTATACGAGAAAATTATGTTCAACAGAGAGAGAGAGAGAGAGAGAGAGAGAAAGAGAGTAAAAAATACAGAGACGAGAATCTGGAAGAATGTTTGCTATAATATCGAAAACGATGAAATGAAAAGGACAAAAACGATATTATTAACTATACTATACTACGAAACAGGATCAAAGATATATCCTTTCCTTTCTGAAAGTACGACGATTCTAACAACAGCAGCAGCAGCAGCAGCAGCAGCAACGAACAGCAATAATAAGTAAACGCCGCGAAGAGATTTCTCGCTTTTAGCGATTCCAAGTGTATGGTTTCGCGACGAGCGAAGCCTTAAAAAAAAAAAAAGAAAAAAAAAAAAACCGTGACTTCGATCCTTGTGCCTCGCGTTTTGCACTGTTCTTCGTCACGCACGAATTGCCTCTCGTTCGCGGTGACGCTTTTTTTGTCGCCGATGCCGATACACGAACTATAATGACGGGTTTAAAATTATTCTCGTCCAGTGATATCGCGTGTGCATGCCATATAACGAAGCTAACTGCCAAAATGCCAGTTGTGCGACCAAAGGTGTTTTTCTTCTCGCTTCGAACGAGGTCGCCACTCTACTTTCGGATATATATAATATACGATCGAATACCTTCTTTCGCTCTCGATCGCATCCACAAACAATCGTCCAAGGATAGAAATTTCTATGCGAATCTGAAGGGAGGTTTTTTTTTTTTTTTTTTTTTTTTTTTTTTTTTTTTTTTTTTTTTAATCATGCTGTGAACGATTCGATCGGACGAAATGCGAGATAGATTGGATGGTTCGAGCGAATCAAGAACTCGTTCTTGGACGTCTAATTGTTGAAAGGGGATACGAGGAACGGTGATTCGAATTCAAATTCCTGGGAAACTTTGGGTTTCTCGTGTTCGACGTAACGATAAAAGCGATCGATTCGATGGTACTACTACTCGAGAAAGCGAAGAGGTTAGGTTACGTTTGTAGTCGGGAGTTGTATATGTGCCATAATTTTTTATCGTGTCATCGTTCAGATCAACCGTTTTTTTTTTTTTTTCGAAATTTCATTCAATACCTCGTTCGGTATTTAGAGTGTTTTCAAGTGCCAAAAAAAAGAAAAAAAGCAAAAGAAAAATCGCGTCAACGTTTTAGACGTCTAAGCTTCGAAGCGGATTTAAATTTTGGCGGTTTGCTTTTCGATTAAAAAAAAAAAAAAAACGACTTACGGCGTTAGTGTCGAGAAAGTATTCGTGCGTCAATTAATTGCAAAGTGAAATTGTCAAATATTTTTAATATTTTTACGTTCGTTAAATTAAAAAATTATCGTATTTCTCAGATCGATATTCGTCTTTCGTATTCCTTTTTCTTTCGCGTTTAATAAAGGCGCGATCGGACGGCGTATTTCACGCGTGATTAATTATTGCACGAATTATTTTTCTAGGCCTGGCTGCCGTGGTAGACTATAGTGTGTAACAAAGTGTGTAGGAAGAGCAATGGAGACACGAATCTGTCGGTGTAATTTCGTATGCGTCGACTCTCGTATACGGCCACACTGATTTTGTACATTTGATTTCTCGGATCTTTGAGGGTTAGTGCCTTTTTCCAATATCCCTGGCCGTGACGTCGTGTCATCATCTCACGCCCGACAGAAGGAAACAAGAAGAGAGCCAAATCGTCGATATAAATAAAAAAAAAAAAAAACAAAAAAAAAAAAAAACTGTACAGGGCATTTCATTCTGCTGAGAAGAAAGAGCGACCTGTGTGTGAACGCGTGTGAACGACTTTCTTCTTTCCCTCTTTTTTCCTAATTTTTGTAACGCCTCTCTCCCGTAAAAAGGAATAGAATTGACTTAAACCTCGTGGCGATCCATTCGAAGAAACACGACGAACGATCGGCAAAAACATTTTTGAAATTTCTAGAAATAATTGTCGTCCCCTTGGACAAGGTCCAGACTGTATTTCCGTATTCTTTTAAACAAGCAGATTTTTCGAAAGCTTTTTTTTCTTCGTACTGTAATTCTTAATTAATTAAAATTAATTATAAATGCGCTAAAGAAACTAGTCCATCAGGGCGAAATAAAATTAGTTGATTTTTATCGATGCTCTTGCACTTTCAACAAAATCAATTCCCCTTTTTTTTCTTTTTTTTTTTTTTTTTTTTTTTTTTTTTTTTTTAATCGTTCGATATCGAATACGATCGTTAATTCGACGAATCGGCTGGTGAATCCGACTCGTCTCTAGCCATTTATAATTATATATATATATATATATATATATATGTATATATACCAGCAGTCGATATTATCGTTTCACGAGTAATTTCTTCGTGTATCTGCCAATTTCGATGCGATGTTATATAAATTTAAGAAAAAGAAAAATTTCTTATCCTACGTACGAAACGTATATAATTTTTCCATTCATTCGGAGAAATATTAAAAATATAGATGGATACGTAATTATCGACAAAAATTGTATACGATTTTCGTTATCGTATTTTCTTGAAATTATTCCGATGAAACGAATCTAAATAAAATATTGTGACAAGACTGCCGAGATATATATTTCGATCATTATTCTTATCCCTAGAGGTCATGCTTAAAAAAAAAAAAAAAAAAAGAAAAAAGAAAAAATAATACACGTTTATCGTTTCGTAAATAATTATTCGTAACGAAATTATGATTAAGAAATAAATCACGACGATCGAAGATAAATATTATACGTGTATAAATTTTCAAATCGAAGAGACGAAAGATTCCCCCATTCGGGAGAGATACACGAAAATTCGAAGTCAGTCAATAGTAGAAATTTAGCGCGAAATTCAGGCCGGTGTTAAATTGTTAAAGAAAAAAAAAAAAAAAAAATTAATATTGTAAATTGTTCCCTTCGTCGGGCGGATTCTGAGCGAGCGAGAAAATTATTGAATCGTCCTTAAAAAAAAAAAGAAGAAAAAAAAAAATTTCGTATCGAGTTGCACACGAATGTTACGAATGATGACCCTTCCCCCTCCCCCCTCCCCCCTTTGATCGCGAATGATATCAATTTATGGCCTCCCTACTTCTCTGCCTCCATCATTTTAAAAATGTCGAACAAACGTCTCCCTTCCGTGAATTGTGTGTAATCGTTTTTTTAACATACATATTTTCATACACACACACATACACAGAGCACAAGGCGAAGAAGGAAAGTGGCCTTACATTCGATTCCTTCGATTCTGTGTTGCTCCTGCTTTTCAATTTATCACAAGCACTCGTTGACACTTTATTACGAACAAAAAAAAAACAAAAAAAAAAAATCGATCATCTATTTATAATGCTCTTTGTTATACATGTTTTTGTGGTGCTACACTAAGAATAAAAGATAAAAAAATCAAAAAAAAAAAAAAAAAAAAAAAAATCGTCCCTCGTGAACAAACGGGTACACGGGTGGAATCAAACGAACAGCTGGTGGATCATCGAATAAACTTATTGTGCCCGTTTAAATTGGCTCGTTGAACGTTGAATGGCGAATTTAATTAAAGCGATACACCGTTAACCGTCTAACCGAGCATTTAACCGTCTTCCTGCCATTCGAATATAACATCGACTAGAAATAAAGTAGAGGAAAGTAGAGATTAAAGATTATTAGAGAACGCATTAAGAAACGCGCAAAATATCCGTACTCGATAGACCAATTTTTGAATTTTTCTCGATTAACGCTATAATTGGAGTCGTTATGTGTAACGTTTAAAGTAACGCTAGAACTGGAGAAAATCGCGTGAATCGCGCAAATTTAACGCCCAATTTCTCGTGTTATGTTAATCACGGTGCAACTGTGCAATCGTATATCGCTTGCGTAAGAGATTGTGTAAGAATAAGAGTAAAACAAAAAAAAAAAAAAAAAAAAAAAGAAAAAGAAAAGAAAAGTTTGAAACGCACATGTATACGAGTTATACAAAAATCAAGAACAAAATTAAAAATATAATTGGTCGTAGAAGAAAGTAATTTGCATCAAATTGTAGCCACGTATAATGTAATTTACATTAGTTTGAAAACATTAATGAATTTTGCTCGAAAATAGAACTTGATTAATCGAAACGAATTTGCGCGACCGACAATTTATTAAGTGAAAAAGTATCCCAGCCACATTAGGTTGGGAAACGATCGATCGAATCCCTACTTCGAATAAATATCGATCAATTACTAGCCGCCATTTTTTTTTTTGTATTTTAATAAAACCGATCATATTAACTAGTACGGATCAACCACGTTAAATAACTGTCACATCTATCGATAATTTATTTTTTTTCTTATTCTTTTTTTTTCGAACAGGAAAGAAAAGTGAAAGCATCGAAGATTATTTGTTATCGATAAATAATTTTTATTATCGATACGGATCGATATTCGAGAAATACGACCCAAATTTTCGCGATTCTATCTATTTATTTCGTTTGATATTTGCTGGATACGATCGTATGGTAAGGATAAATATCGCGGAGATTCAAGTTTGGAAAATTTAATTTCAATGCGGTTACTCTTAATTATACGATGAAATTTACGATATGGTATTATGCGAGACATTTATCGATGCTGCCCGATTAAAACATTATTAGCAGATACCACGTTCAACATTCCACGCGGAGTCGTGTACATTCGTTAAAAACATCGTGAAAATTCGTAATACCAGCGTTTAGAGATTATACTTCAGCGTTTAGAGTTTTTTGGAGGGAGGGGGGGGGGGAGGGGGGAATGGAACTTTTGTTTCGCAAACGTTATAACTTCGCGTTTTAATGGAACATTTACATCGTCGAAATGTTCGCAAAGTGATTAAACGCGAGTCGATAAATTTGAAAAATTATTACATCGCGTTTCGTTAACAAGCGCCAGCTTGTCACGTGTCAACGAAGGAATTTTAATTGAAATCTATTTAAAATTTTTTAATAATTAAGTTCCTAGGTTTACAGTTGTCGTTAATTTGATTTGTTCGAGAGATAAGATATTCAATTTTTTTTTTGTATGTGTATTAAATATTAATGCGAAATCATGCGAATTAACAAATCGAAAAAATTAATTTGCAAATGAATATACGATATGTAAAAAGAATTCGTAAGAAAATTGATTTTAAATTTTTATTATTATCCGAAAGCACAAAAACGATCGTGGAAATATTAATGAGTTCGAAATTATCTTGTAATATTATCGTATTTCGACAGAGTCGTATTTTTTTTTAAATATATTGTATAAAAAAAATTAAATTATTCGCAATACTTTTATTGTTATAGTTAAATTTTAAACGTCCCTGTAAAAATAAATTAAATATAACATATATAATTAATTATATAAAATCTTTTAATGCAATATATTTAATTGTTACACTTTTATTAAACGCATTGAATTGTTATCTTTCCATTTTTTAAAAATAATCTATAATATTACTGTATAATTGTATATCCGTTATAAAAAATTTTATCCAGAAATATTTTAATAAAATATTCTGCACATTATAATATTTGAATAAGTAACATATCGAACAATCGTAAAGGAGCTATTAAGTAAAATTATAATAAGTAAAAACGACGAAAGATAATGCAGCGACATTAACTATCCACCAATTATGATACATTAAATGTATAAAAATATTTATATTAATACGTTAATCCAAAAACAGATAACTGCCTTATCCACGTAATATTAAATATAACATATTATTAATTATCTTCATAAATATTATGATTTATATGTATAAAGAGAAATCGATATTAAATATCTATATTTAATTTTCTCGAAATCAAACGACATAAAAATTTCAAAACTTCATTTTGTTCTCTATCATTCAGCACGAATAATAATCCAATTATTAACAAGATTTAAAATCCAAAATTTATTAGAAATTTAAAATGCAAAATATCATTATCATCAAATAGATCAACGTGACTTTTTCCTAATTATTTTTTAAATAAACAAATCGCGATGTGTAACCAATGTGTTCGTAGAAAGAAAAGTAAAACAATTTTCTTCATTGACTTAAAATTTCGAAAAATTCGAATTTAAATGTTGCGTATTAAAATATCGATTAAAATTTGTGATTTTACAATTGATACAATTGATATATAACCCAATTTTCCCGTACTTTTTCCGCGCATAGATGTAATAAATCGTGCAACGAGGGAGCAGTCTGGACTCTTTCCAACGGTTACTGATGAACATGGCGAAAGGAAGGAAAGAAAAAAAAGAGAGGGAAAAGGAGATGTATATGAACGAATAAGAGTGAGAATGAAGCTGAGGGAGCTTGTATATAGTGAATGTGTGCAGTATTTATGTGTTATACATTTAATATACATATATATATATATATATATATATATATATACATATACATAGATATAAATATTAATATTGTTAAGACTAAAAAAAAAAAAATGTAACAACAGTGGAGAAAGTAATACATTGTCCATGAAATAATTAATAATCGTAACGTGATAGTCACGATTTAATTTCCCGTACAAAAAACGTTGCCATATAATACCATGTTAGGAGACACTTCAATCCCTTGTCTCGTCTTAATTTTAAAAAAATAATAGAAAGCAACAAATTTTAATTGCCAATAAAACAATTGTGTTTGGAAAAAATATCTATATTATTAACTAATAAAAATAAAATAATAAAATCGTCCAATGGAATAAATAAAATAAAATAACTAAAATCATTCGAAATATCACATCATTAAATTTAATAATCTCATAGCCTCCTAATCTGCAATTAAAATTACAATTAAAATTAAACTTCGATACAAATGTAATTTCTTTAATGACACTAATATTATAATTGAATTGCCTCTTAACATTGATACAGTACGAAACAAGCAACATAGAAATAAAAACGAACACGTCAGCGTTACTATTCGTCCCCTGGTTCGTGCCAATTTTTTCAAAATGGAACTCGAAACTCGCTTCGCTAATCGCAATATTTTCCGACGCAACTATCGATAGTGATCTCATGGCCGAATTCGTTCCGACTTGTGCTTTCTATATATATACATACGTAACCGAAAAGTCGGTCCACTTCCATCCTTCGCGCGCCACGAACAATTTTCCCATTCTTTGAATGATTTATATTCGCTTAAAATCCTCGCAACGAAACAACTATCGAGTCGATTTCACGATTACGATGATCCTAGAGAAAAGTGAAACGAAAATTTCGACAGAATAAGTGCCGAGGAAATTGAAAATGATCAATTCGAACAATGGCGTCATTGAACATCGATGAATTCGATACAACGAATTCAAAAAGTGTTTTGTTCAACGTCGAAAGAATTTCGAACGTGTTTGTTTCCTCGCATCTGTACATACATGTACATGAATGGACAATAATAATAAAACAAAGTTGAAAGCTATTAAAAAGATACTCTGTTCGTATGCGTGTGTGTACGCGTGTGTGCGTGTATGTAATTGATCGATTCAACGAGAATTTCGGGTAATACTCGTAATAATATTGTAATGAAAAAAACTCACTTTCATGGCACGCGTTAGAAAGAACAGCTTGTTCCAATTTCATAATTGTTAAATTGTTTTTCCTCACTTTGTTTATCACCGAACGTACGCATTTAAAAATCTCAATTAAAAATAATAGATATACTGATCGTCGATTTTCAAGCTTAAAAATAAATAAATTATTCGTTTAAATATTGCATTTCTTAACATGACCATAATAGTTCGTTTAAACGGATCAACTTTTCTGTGAAATGATTAAATGAGGAATTACAAAAAATACTATTGAAAAAAAATTCTTACTTCATAGAATCAGATAAAGTATATATATTTATATTGATATATTTTTATTCGTTTATTGCGAACTATTCTATTTAAATGTTCTGTACATGTTCTGTAAAAAATTAAAACATCATGTTCTTTAGTGAAAGATTACACAATTAGGTTACGAAATTAACGCATGCTTCATTTTTTCGTTATTTTTATAATCAATAAATCAAATTAACTGCATTATATTTTTGATCATTTTCGATCTCTTCCTATTAATGTATTATAAACATTAATATATTTTTAATGAAATTGAATTGTTTTAAGTTTATATAATATAGTTATTATCGATAGATTTATTTAAATTTCAATAATTAATTTTCTCTTTTTTTTTTGAATCTGTCAAAGATTTATCAAGAAAATAGAGCACTTAATTATTAAAATTAAATATATAATATTTAATATTTTAATATCTTTCAAATTTGTAATATCATACAACTTATTTTATAATACAATTTATATTATTTTATAATATATACAACTTACATTATTTTATAATACATACAACTTATTTTGTAATATCATACAAAATTTTATTTCGAGTATTATCAATATCAATAACGAAAAATTTTTCCATTTATTTTCGATTGTCGTTAAGTTTTATGAATATTATATTATTAAATTAAATATTTATCAAAATAAATATTACGAGTAATAAAAATAATTTATTTTTATTATAATTTATAATAAAATTTGTAATTTGGATTTTATATTATTATTTATTTCATGTGACATTAAAAAAAAAAAATAAAATATCCATGCTATGAAAGATTCATTTCTATCAATAGAAAAAAATACTTCGACAAATGATAATTGAACAATATTACTCAATCCAAACTCGAATTTTAGTATGATGATACTAAAGCAATGATGAAATTATTTATTTTATTTATTTTTAATTTCTTTTAATAATAAATATGAAAATTTTATTCAAATATTTATACAATTTTTTTAAGTAAAATATATATGTTAAAGGAATACAAAATGTGGCCTTATCATTGAAAAGTTGGATATTGACTATAAAGATATTGCTTTCTTTAATAAACTCACTGAAATTAATATTTTATGATATGAAAAACGCAATAGATAATGATGT